GAAAAAGAAGAGCAATTGACCAATGATTAAGGTTCATTAAATTTGTCGAAGTGAAGTAATTATAGGTTTGTAGGAGGGGATAGTGATTAATTAAGATGAACAGTAGTGAAAAGGAAGTACACACAGACACTGTAGAGACTGGGGAACCCCCCTTAGAATCACTGAAAAAGGAGAAGGCAAATTGGATGGTGGAGAGGTGGCTCAGAGAAAAAGCCCACTTTGGGTATGGCTCTAAAGTAAAGAGAGAAACCAAAAAAAAAGGAGCTATAGGATTATCCTGTCACATCCCCTTTTGATTCTACTTCATGCACTTTGTTTGATTCCCCAAACAATGTTACTTCCACTTTATATATTGTTAATGATGAAAATATAATCTTTCAAACTTAGTGGTACATTCAAAAATCTCAATTATGCACATCTTAATTAACCCAAAAATATAGACAATATATTAAGAATAATTAAATATAGTTTTATTAGTTTATTGAGTTAATTAGGAATATATATGTGGTGATTTAAGTTGAGACATCCGTAGAGATTGAGTATCTGAATGAGGATAGACACAGTAATTTTTGGCGCAAAACAACAGTTAAAATTACTTTGAATCAGTGATATATATGTATTTTTTGGGGATCTGAAAAAGAAAAGAAAATTAACGGAAGGGGAATTTCGAGAAAGCTGAAGCCCTGGAGAGGCAAAGTGAAAAGGGAAAAAGGGTGTGAAACGCAAATTACATCAATGATGATAGGAATGATATGGGAGCCACATGCACTCATCTATTTATTTTTATTTTGAATTTTGTATTTATTTTATATTTAATAATAATAATAATTCATGATCTTCTTCCTTTGAATTACCAGTCAATCACTCTCTCTCTCTCTATTATTATTATTATTATTATTTTGACTTGGCTGTTTTGGGTCCCACCACCCACAATATATCTCTCTCTTTATGGCTTCAAAGTAAATTAACAAACTTTATGAATCATTCCCAATTAACAAAACCCATCCACAGTACACACACCTAATCCTTTTCAATTACACAAAACTAAGAAATAAAATAAAAGAAAAAGAAAAAATCCACATATATTCAGACAAAACCCTAATTTGAGAGTCCCCCTTTTTTTTCCGTGGAGAGATAAAACTGTTGATTTGGGGTTTCAGAATTATATTCCGATCGAGCACTCATTATTTTTGTTGCTTAAAGTTTGCCCACTCCCTTGTTGTTTTTGTGTGTGCCAGCTGAGCTCCCATCTCAAAGGAATTCCATGCTCCACAAACATGAGATATAGATAGAGAAAGAGAAGAAGAAAGAGACCCACTAGGCCACTATGTGATACCATCCAAAGGGTCAGCCACAGATTGTACTGCCACC